GGATAACCCTGACATACTTCACAAGTAATTAAATAAAAGCAAAATAAACAAAGGTTAAAATTTTCACTCTAAAAATGGCAGAGGTTTAAAACTTAATAATTCTTAATGCTGATTAGGATACAGTGCGACATACACATTCTCATATGTGCTCATAGCATTTTAGAACATTAATCCCCTCCGATTCGGTAATTTGCCTTCTAGAAGTTAATTGTAAAGGTTCAATCAGAGCTGTATAGCTTTATCTACCAGAATAGGTCTTGATTCAAATCCCTCCTGTACTTCTTACTGATTATGTGACTTTAGGTGAGTTATTTTTTCCTTATCTCTGAGCCTATTTCTTCATCTGTAAAGATGTGGATAATTACATCTATCTTATAGATGGTATGGGATTAAACACTAAATTATTTATCTAATAGCCATTTTATTACAGAGATGCTTCTTGTAGCACTACGTATAATCTTATAAATATATACATTGTCCAAATGCCCAATTAATAGGATGATAGGCAAAAAAATATGGTTTTCTCATCAAATGGAATAGTATATGGCCATTAAATATATTTTATTAAAATTTTTAATGGAAAAGAATATATTCACAATGTGAGGTTAAATGAAAACATTAGGTCAGAATACAAAGCTGTTTACAAATTATGGTTCCATGTATAAAAATATGCATAATATTCACCAAACATTAAAACTGGTTATTTCTAGGCTATAGAATTATGAATGACTTCTTTTTCTCTTCTTTATGCTTTTTGGTATTTTCCAAGTCTTCTACTGCAAACAGTATTACTTTCATAATCAGAAAGATTACAAAGGTAATATAAAGGAAAGAGTATGATTTAAAGTAAGAAAATATTATTGACAAAATTTGTTCAAAAGGATGCATTTAACATTTCACATGTGGATTTTGTTAAGCATACGACATATGGTCTTATGAATTTTTTAATTAATTCTAACTTTCTTGACCTTGTGTGTTATTAAAAAAATTAAAAATACCAAAAGGACAGATACGCAAGGAAACAGTTATGCCATTTTTAGCATGGTGCTTCAAAAGAATCCCTGGATGGCCATTAGTTCTATCTCCAGCATTCATGCTTTCCATTATTAATGTATTTATTAATCAACCACTTTCCCACTTATTGTGTGTGAGGTACTGTGCTGGGCATGAAGCATATAAGAATAAGATAGGTGGTCCCTGTCTTTAAGGATCTCACAAGATGGTGGAAGGATGAACAATGATCACACTGAAACATTATAAATGGGATTAGCCAGGAGTGATTTATGACTAGATTAGGGCACTTAGCCAATGTGTGGATCAATCCAATCCACTTTTTCTAACACTGTAAGGATAATAATCAACATATACCAAAATCTCCACTTTTCACTTCTCTGTTCTGACCCACCTGCTCTTGTAGCACTTCTTCCTCAGAGCTAGGTCAGAGCTCACAAATTAAAGAACAGTCTTCCAGACTGCCATTGGCACAAGACTTCAGATGTCAGCCACAAGCTTGGAAGTCTCCAGAGCTCCCCTCACTTCTGACCCACTGGCTATAAATTTGGGGGTTCCCTCCACCCCTTTGGATACCAGCTGCAAGCTGTCACTTCTAAACTACTGGTTCCCACTACTCTCTTGGGTTCAATAATTTGCTGAAATCACTCACAGAAATCATGGAAAATGCTGTACTCACTATTACAACTTTATTATAAGGGATACGAATCAAAATCAGCATAAAGGAGAAACACATAGGGCGAGGTCTGGGAGGGTTCCCAACATGGAGCTTCTCTGTCCCAAAAGAGGCATGTCACCCTCTTGAGCACCGATGCCTTTTGCTAACCAGGCAGCTCATGGGAATTTGGCGTCCAGAGCTTTAATTGAGGATTTTTGCATGTCATCATCATCAAAAAAACAAAAGTTGCCTTTGAGTTGACTCCAACTCATGGCAACCCCATGCATGTCATAGTAGCACTGAACGCCTTAGGGTTTTCAATGACTGATTATTCAGAAGTAGATTGCCAGGCCTTTCTTCTGAGGTACCTCTGACTGGACTTGAACCTCAAACCTCTCAGTTAGCAGCTGAGTACATTAACTATTTACACCACCGAGGGACTCCATAAGATAGTCATTATAAGTTGGTATCATGAGGTAGGACCCTCCAGCCTGGCCAGCGTCACCCAAGAGTCACTCACCAGCACAACCTGCTAGTTAGATGTGGTCCGGAGTCCCCATCAAAGACACTTAAACCATGAAGGAAATTTCAAGGTTTTAGAGATTATCCCCCAGGAACTGATGACAAAGACTAAATTCTTTGGGTAAGGTTAAATTTTAAACCAAGGTAGGAGTTCTAGAGAGTAAAAAGATTAAAACCTGACCTATGTTACTGAAAGTAAAGAAATCTGTAGTGGAATTATTTTATTTCTAGGATGAAGGAGGCAGGGTTGGAGAAATGGCAAAGAGAAAGCAATAAACTGACAATATTCTCATTATGGACCTTTAATTTTGGTGTACTTAGTTCATGTGTTCTTTTGTAATTAGTTATACTGTTTTTCAAAGTTTTGAGGGACAAAGGTAATAAAGGTTTTCAGATTTGTAAGTTCATCAAATACTCCTAGAAAAACAGCACCCATTTACTTTCAAATGTCAACGAAGAAAAAAAGAAGTACAGAAACCATCACTGAGGGAAAATGGAATTGTTCTCATTTTAAGTGGGGAAGCAATACCTTTATTTAAAACAGATTAACTGGAGTGAAACAGAAGAAAGTATTGTTAGGTGGGGGATAAGAATTTCTATTGAACATTTAGGGCACAGGAGGAAAACTTAGCAGAAATTTTTTTAGGATGGTGTTAAAAGAGAGGAGAAATCTGACTGATGAGAAATTAATGAGTACTGTTTGAATTAGAAGGAAATGTGCATAGAAACGATAAGGACAAGGAAGATGAATTCTACTTCAGATGTGAATGAAATGAGACTGGGAGCTATGGCCAAAAATAAAACCAGGGTTCGACCAGGACATTTTAAAGGATTTGGCAAAGAGTTAGCAACATTTAGGTGGTAAGGTTCCCAATGACATGAAAAATATATTTATAGTTTTATTTTTATTTTTATTTTTTACTTCTCCCTCTTGATATACATCTAGCATCCTGAAATCTACTGGTTCAAAACGGGGCTCACGAAATTCATGCAAAACCAATTTTCCTCTGAACTTCTCCACTGCTGTTAATTATACCATCAACCTTCCAGTTGCCTAGATGTCAAGCTTTTATTCCTTCTTTTCCATTTTCTATATTCAATTATTTGCCTAGTTTTCTAATCCATCTTTCCTTCGTTCCCAATTCTATGGTCACTACCCCAGTATTGCTCTCTTTTCACCTTGGCTCTAAGATCCTGCCA